TTGTTTTTTTACTTCAAAATAAGATATGTGCAGTGTGCATAGGAATTTGTTCATAGTTTTTTTTTTTAACTATAGTCCAGCCCTCCAACGGGTCTGAGGGACAGTGAATTGGCCCCCTGATTAAAAAGTTTGAGGACCCCTGGTCTAGAGTCTTAAAGGCTTGTATTCAAACAAGCAGCCATCTGAGTGAGCCCGTCAACTAAGTCCACATGGGCTAAGTCCACATGTGTGATCCAACGATGACAATAACAAAATCCAAATATGATGAAGGGAAAGGTATCAGAGCTTAAATTGTGAACACCTATTTGTAGAAGGCTACAGAGGACAGTGGGAGCCCAAAAACCATCTGCAGAGTCTCTAGTCAGATTCAGCCTCTGGCAGATCCCCTCTGGCCACAGGTGCGGGACCCCAACAGCTTCACTATCAGATTATTGTAAACTTGACGCTGGTGGACTGGACCAGGGCGTAATCTACTTGGTCGGCTGACCTCCCTCTTCATCCAACCTGAGTTTGCTCCAGGCTCAAATATGTCTCCCTTGTTCCATGACAGAAACGTCTTCTCTGGCTTTTTAGACATTGATAGTAGTCTTTTCTTTCTGACTTTTAATTTGTATTCCTATATGATTATTATTTTCTTTTTGCCATTTTTTTCATTGTTTCTGTTGGATTCCCCAGTTTGTGAAGCACAGAAAGATTGGCTGCATAGAGATAATAACTGATGCAGGGATTTGTCGGGGGTGTGGGGGGTGGGGAGATTTGGGGAACAAACCATCATTGCTGGAGGATGGAGGGAGCACTAGGACTTATTGTGATGATGTATATACAACTCTTTTTTTAAGTGACTTAGCTATGGAGGTGAATACTGTGTCAAGAAAAGTACTAAAAAAAGAGAAACCAAGCTTGACCAATGGTTACCATGGGTGAAGGAGGAAGAGTTGTTGCTTAGGGAGTGCTCAATGGTGTTGTTGCTTCATGGTGGTAGGATAATTTGGAAAAGGATATCAATGAGTGTACAACACAAACAATATAATCAATGGCAGATATGACAAAATACCAATTTATAAACTATCAAGGGCTCATGAGGGAGGGGGGAGCGGGGAGGGAGGGGG